TGACATTCAATGCAAGAAGTATATGCAATAAGTCTAAACAGTTATTGTCTCATCTTGCTTTTCATGACCCTGATGTATTTATCATAACTGAAACATGGCTAAATAATGAGCATCTGACATGTCAACTTGGAATACCAGATGATTATCAGATTATTCGCAATGACAGGAATACAGAGACAGGCAAGAAGACAGGCGGGGGTGTATTGGTGGCTGTCAAAGACTATCTTACTCCAGTTCACCTGAACATTAATTCTGCAGCACCCTATGAGGTCGTATGTTTCTCAATTACCGGAATTCGTAGCAAGCTTCTTTTCGTTGCTTGTTACTGCCCCTTCTGGCATGCCTATATCTTATTGGAACAGTTTCAGTGATGACTTTTTGTTTTCTCTCGAACCTATGTTATGCATGTTTGATGGTGTATTCATCGTTGGCGATTTCAATTTAAATTGGAAGGAGCCAACTGGTATACCTTCATCCTTTATAAGTGCTATGTTGTGATGTGTTGTCTATTATATTTTATCATACATTTTAACGATGTTTTTTTTTTTTTTTATACTGGATGGGAGTGGTTCTCAAACAATTGTTATAGTAATTAAGTTTACTTTAGAGACCAGGCCCTCCCATCAAGATTATTCTATTGTGCAATAAAAGAATAAGAATAAGAATAAGAATAAGAAAAATTATTAAATATAATAATCATTATAAATTTTATCAATAAATGTTGATATTAATTGTTTACCAATTGAACTAGAAACTCCGTTTTTATTCTCCTCGACGATTCATGCTCATCTGCTGACCTCTGCGACAATAACGAATCAATCTCATCAATGAAGATTACAGCCGGCTGATGGCATCTAGATACAGCAAATAGCGCCCTCACCATTTTTTCACCCTCACCTATCCATTTTGATGTCAAGGAGGATGCACTAATACTAAAGAATGTTGCCCCTGATTGATTAGCAATACATTTGCCTGAAATGCACAAAAAAATATTCACAACATCATTAGTATGAAAGATATTATTTACTGTATTGGTTTTTTGTAGAAAACATTGAAAATATTAAATTATTATTCATTAATATTGAATTATTATTCCAATAGAGCAGTCAATCCATAGAGTGCATACAGCTGCCCTGTGTGAGAATACGGAACAATACGCAGCGGTGAATACATACGCTCCTTCTGCCGCAGGGGCGGATTTAGGTGGGGGGGGGGGGCCGGTAAAAAAAGAAAAAAAAAAAAAGGTAAAAAAAGAAAAAAAAAAAGAAAGAAAAGAAAAAAATAATAGCCCACAACGCCTCAAATGTTATTTTCCGGCGTCTAGAACACAAAAATTTCGCGGGGGCATGCTCCCGGACCCCCTAGGACATTGTTGT